TATATATATATATATATATATATATATATATATATATATATATATATATATATAATTTGTATATTATATATATATATATACATATGCGTATAATGGAAGAGATTAAGCCTCAGAAAGATTCTATGAAGAACTGACAACTGTATTATGAATTATGAACTGTATTATGAATATTTGCGCTAAATATCCAAAGAATGAAGATTAAAGCAGGTGAAGTCACCAAGTAGAATTATTCAGCACCGCACACATGAAGAAAAACATTCTGGAATAAGCGTCGTGATTTTTCCGAATGAAATAACGGATAAAACAATTCAGTCACAATTTTCTATCAAAATGAATCATATCTGTTCTTTTTATCATCAATTGTTTACTTTTAGATCTCAAAATATCTTTTTCAATCCAAAGATGACACATGTCGGAAAAACTCCGAAATTCATAATGCAAATTTTCTGCCGGATTATGGAAATTAAAGCTACATTCAAACAAAATTTCCACAATATCCAACAAACGGGGTGATAAAATCTTGTAAAACTAAAGTAATGAAGTGGATATAAGCTAACAATGGACAGCGTAAAACAAAAACGTCTCAGTACCTACACAATGGACAATGCCAAAGGGTAGCTATACCTCCATAATAGCCCCGATGGAGCTTACAAAGCTCCTCCCTAATCCTTATATATATATATATATATGGAAAAATCCCGAGCTATACAGTTGAGTTCAGTTTTTATAATCAAACAGACGATACATCCTCTTCGCCTATCCTCCGCGTATAAACCACAAACGACGATATCTTCGCCTATCCGTACCATTGGACAACAAACTACGATATTCTTCTATTCACTAAATACAGTTTCCGTAACATATTCCCAACTCAACGACCTATCAACTAACCAACAGTCAAATTATTGTCCAAGGCAACGACAAGGAGTTTGTTAATTGATCATATTACTTGCTTTTTGTATAACTCATTTGTCATTGCTTACCAATTCATCGTGTTATATACATACATATCTTATACCCTTTTTTGTTGTTAACTAGTAAGATTGTACTAGTAATATTGTACAACAATATAACCTCCCGAATAAATCTGTATCGCCGAGGAACGAGTTCAACAAAGAAAAGAAAAACAATTTCCCAACAACACATGGGGTCATCGAGAAAATCCTTCCCATCCCATTTCAACGTTAATTCAAACTTCAAAATCGGAAATGCCTAGAAGATCAGTCTTTCAAAAAAGAAAAAAAAGAGTGGTTAGTCTTCTAAAGGGCACACAAAAGTTATTACAGTTTTAGCTGTAAAATCTGATTTCAAAAGCATTTTGAAATCAGATAAAATATTTCCTGAATTCACAGTGATACATTTAATCATTTCCGTAATGCTATCATACAGTTTTATCACAGATAATCACGGACATCAATATAATATTCTCACAGTTCAATGTAGTTTCAGAAGAAAGGAATTAAAATGAGTCGGATAAATGGACAATAAGTGTCCGATTCCAGGTAACTTCACTCCTTTCATTATATAAAGATTAAAAGTATCATTCATTTATAAGTCTGAACTCACAATTAAGTTCCAAATCAGTGATATTGGAGGAAGCTTTTGAAACATTAAGGAAGGTGGTATATTGGTTTGTCCAAACATGGAATAACAGGTCTACCATTTATGCTCCAATAAAATGATTGATGTCAAATATTGATCGATGACATCTTGAAAACAGTATAGATTCAAATCATTTCTCCTACTGGAAGGGAGAAGAAAAGGAATTAGGATGAGTCACAGTGGAGAGATGAGACAGAAAGTGACATTATGAACTTTCTACGACAATTAACTTCTAGGCTTTTGACATGAAGTGTTTTCTGGCTAGTTCCTTTATATCCTAATATTAAAATCGGTGGAAATTAGTCCTGAAATATAATGTCATCCTGGAGTTAACTAACAGTATGCACTGACTTCAGATGTCATCATATATATGTGTCGTTTGACAGGCACAAATACTATTTAGTTATCCTCCCTGTTCAACTCACTTTTACACAAATAACAAACGGGAGAGGATATAATGTCAGCATAAGTTGACAGTTTTCCCAGACTATGTATGTCATTTTTATTGTTTCAAATACTGGATACAACTAATTACAATGTCACTATGCGCCTTAGGTGACAATTTTACTTCTGTGCTCCTTATGAAAGACATTTTCATTTGTATCAATTTACTTCCGCAAAAATATTTGATTGTATTTAAGATACTGGATGACTTCATGACTTACTCTAATATGCTGTATATCTGAATATTTGAGGTATGGCACCAGATGCGGAACGAAACACGACATTGTTGTGACATATATATTTCTCGCAAACCAGTATTGAAATTTAGATTTCGATGGGTGTAGCACGAGGATTATTCCAAACTGTTTCGTTTCACGAGTGTGACTTGAAATCATAACTCCAAATTTAAATTACAGAATGGATTTTATACTTTGTGCTCTCATACATTTACTTAGGGTCACACTTTTTATTTGATTGGTCGTATCTCTTCTATGACACTTTGCTGTTAGATATAATTGCCAACTAGAGCTCCGATCCAGACAAGGACTAATCGGACAGTAAGTATAGTCCGTTGTCTGTACTGGACTAAGTGTCAATTTTGCTAAGGAGATTGACAAATTCAACACTCTATCTTACCCGTTCATTAGATTGCATTTGAATGAATGAATAAGAGGCGTCGCATTACCACTTGTAAATGAACTGATATGGTATGGCAATTATTTGTCTTATCATTGAGCGGATGTGTGGATGTGCTGCATTACTTAAGGTAACTTTATGTATAAAAGCGTAGCAGAAATATAGAGATATTTATCAGTTATAACAATACAATGTTAAAATCGAAGGAAACGTGGAAAAGTAATAGAAACAATAGGTTGCTCACCGGTATGTAAAACCAACATGATATATGCCATGGAGTTGTTTCATATACATTTCGAGGAAAACTCAACAAATTTAACATGTTTTGTCTAAATTTGCAATGAAAATATTTACTGGACTTGTTATAGCTCCCTATTAGAATTAATTTGGAACTTTCAAATGAATGTAAACTGAAAGCAAATTCCGTGAATGAAAATACTATTAAAAGCTATGATAAGAATTAAAACAAAAGTTAATTTCTGTCAAACAATCTCCGGCACAGAATTACAGAACAGATTTTTGCCAAACATAAAAAGCTCATAAAGCAATGCGCAGCAATGGAAATGATGTAAAAAATTACTCGTCGTTTCCGCCTTTCTTCATGGAAATCATTTTTCTCTTATCCTCTCTCTCCTATAATTCATTCATAACATATCGTTCTCACAAATTTCACTTTAGAAAGGCAGCAAATGAAACAATATAAAACAACGATGAAAGAAAAATAAGGCGCAACAGAGCACGAAGATTACATTTATACGTTGCAGTAGTACCGATGGTACCGGCATATGAAACTGACTTGTTCGGTTCAGATTCGAGTAGTAATCCTGGAAACCTGCACCGCCATCCCTTTTCCCATTCTTACGCACTCTACAGATGAAGGCAATCCTAGGATTGCTATGACAGTAGATTAGTTTTCGCTTTTATCCAGGAAGTAATTAAATTCCATGAGGGAATCTACGAGAATTTCTCTTGTTTTGAGCTTTATCAAATTAATAATATTTGAATTTAAAAAAAAAAAAAACAAGACGGAAATACAGGTCATTCCTTGTAGCAAAAAGCTTCAAGATGAGTTGATGTTCAGTTTCACATAATAGCAAAGAGAAGATATGAAAATAACGGTAAAACAAGCACCCATGTAGCTTTTGAAATTCTGATACAACGAGTATAATTCATGTACGGTTGAAATAGTCATATGTGTACATATAATACGGTAAAGATGATAGGAATAGTGGAAGATAAAGATAAAATATCCAGTAAAACTAATCATAATTAATCATCACAAATTTCACCCACAACAATATAAATATTACAAACATCGATGGTCGAAGGAGTGTCCAAGAAAATCCAAGAATTTTTAGAATCTCAGACCTCTAAAAATCCTGGAAAAACAGAAACTTTTCTGTTTGGAGTTTTTAAGCACAAGATGATGGAAATTTCTATAAAATAGAAGAAAAGTCATTTTTAGGAAATTTCCAAGAAACCTCAAGGAAAGGGAAAACTTTGAAGTAAGGAACAAATGACAAGTAATATTGACAGCATTTAAACTTCGACCATTGATATATATTAAAACTTGAATTTGAAGTTTAGATTAAGAACATCTGTTAATATAAACTAGTCAATGATAAAAAAGGGATGGAAGCGCTGCTGATAAAATAATTTCAAAACTTTTTCCCAATTCGTTTTCAGGTTGTTCTTCCCATTTCCTCTATGAAGAAATTCGTTTTCAGGTTGTTCTTCCCATTTCCTCTATGAAGAAATTCGTTTTCAGGTTGTTCTTCCCATTTCCTCTATGAAGAATAGCTGTCAATCGACTGCATGAAATCGAAAGAGTTTTTCCTTATTTCCAAGACGGATGGAGGTCACAAGGAATAACTTTTATGAATCATAAAAGCTCCAAGCGGTCAACAACTGACTAAAAGCTATTCGAATTTGTAAAGAGACAGGATAAACAAAACAGATAAGCTATAAACACTGACATGAAGCTGAGCCAAAAAATCGCACGAAAATTAGCAACTCTCTCTCTCGAAAAAAAAAGTGCGGGCGACAGCGAATAAGTAGCAAAACACCGTGGATTCCATATAAACTGATTGGAATTTGCGACCTCCATTTTGTCTGCCAGCCCGATCATATGCTCAAATGGAGATCAACCGTAGAATACGATCAATTTCCAGGTAAAAAAAATACAAGGAAGAAGCGCTATATCTTTGAATTCATTGATTCCTTTTTTTTTTTACATACTGCATATTCTTCGGCGATATTTTTGGCACAAACACAATAATTAAAGCCAAGCTGGGGTATGTGTGAACTGCCTTGCCGACACTATTTGGTAAATGACAATCCCTTCATTGATGTGCGCTTCCTAAATTTTAAAAAAAAGTAAAATTTTATCGGTGCAAAAAAAAATTGCAGATGGATTAAATGAAAAGGTTTCATTAACCATTACCCCAACTCAAGAGTTCGTAGTACTAGCCACGTCTGGCATGCAGTCACATCAGTTATAGGCGAGGCAGCCACTAAATGACCACAGAATTGTCATGATTCTAGCATCCAATGTGCTACAGAAAAACAGACAAAAAAGAAACATTGTTCAACACACCTTCTGAAAACCAAAATCTACTATTTCTAACAGTAAAATATAATAATATTGATTTTTCATGGAAAAACTTGAGGTTATGTGCTTGGCGATGGAAAAATTTTCTGACAGTTGAAAGACAAATTTGTCAGCAGTGCTTGTAATAAGCCGAGGTTCCTCGAATATTTGTGATCGGTATTTTTCGACTCAGGCGATCAGGTTAAAAGCGTGTACAATCCAAAAACAGCAGTACAAGCTTTATCATACTCAATGCGTCCTCAAGATCTTTTCAGAACCGAAATTTTAAAGTTGGGATTTCTAAACATTTTCCAGTGGAAAGTTTCACCCTTTCTTATCCTAAGTCTTGCCATGGAAAAATGTTTAATGCAATAGCAGGAAGAAATTCCAGTGATCTTAATGGGCCTTGCAAAAACCAAAGTGAGGGTGTATTAAAGGGAGGGCTTTTTAAAGGTTTTGTGCCAAAAATATGCAAAAAAAGATTCAGTATTTACAGTGCAATTCCATCCCCAAAACTTAAACAGTGAGAAAGAAAACTAAATTTTTTGGTTCCTTAAACAGCTTAATTGAGATCATTTCCAGCAGCAACGAAAGCAATGCAAATAATTTTGTAGTGGTAATAGAAAAAAAATGACGAACATTGCCGCTATGGTCGGAAATTAAATTTCTATTAAATTTATTACCAGATTTCAAATACTATAAAAATTTTTTTCTGTTAATTAGAGCAAAAAAAGATGGAAGAAAAATTTTCAATACTTTGGGTCCATCATAACATTGCACCACCACAAACCTCCTTAACTCAGCACACCGTGAAACTACACCGAAGTAATTTATCATCGAGAATAACTATCATTTGCAAGCTTCAGGTGATGAATGGATTAAAATCTTTCCCTTCTCTTAGCATCCATTTAGGATTCAGGGATTTCCTGAATGATTCAAATACACTTTAGTACCGTAATTTGCTAAGCAAAACTCATCCTCAGTCGTTAAGTCAGTGGTGGTTGAAATGCTGATAGATGAATTGAAAAATGTTAAAGATGCAATATAATAGTAATAAGCCTACTGTAGATTACAACAACCGCACTTTTTTTTTTCGATGCGCACACACTCCACTTGTCGAGCTTTTGGCAAATCAGCCATACCATCTTCCATACCAACTCGATCATTGCTATTCAACAGTGGTGCTGTGCCCGTCACCTGAGCTTCCATTCCTTTATCCGGTACTAATGATGATGGTGAAATGCCTGAATCTAAGATATTCTTCAGTGTGTGTGTACATACAAGTACGATTACGATTAAATAACAAAAGTATACAGTCTTGATAAATTCTTTAAAGTAATCATTAGAAATCCATCGGTATTTGTTAAACATATCTACGTGCTACCCTTTTTTAACAATGGTCTTTTTGTTGACTACTTTACTGTCAACCTATAAGGCAAAAGCTCTCCTGTCCTAGAAATCAGTTTCGAAATTTGTCATTTTTTGTTATTAAACAGCAACTGATAATGCTTACTGCAATCAAAAAACCCTAAAATCTTAAATTTTCTAAAACTGTATGAGAAGATAATCGAAAAAAAGAAAATTTAGTAAAACATACCGTTTAAATATGCCTGATTAGCGATGGGTGTTGTATTCGGTGAACCTGGTAGCGACGGTGGATAAGGTTTTCTTTTATATGCTTCCACGATAGGATCAACTTCATGAAACAGAGATTCTTCTGGACGAAACGGATTATCAGTTAATTCATTTTCTACCCTTCTGAAAATGACCCGTTATGTTTAATTCACTTAGGGATTTCGAATAGCAAGAAGTCTCTTTCATTGTAAGGAACGTTATCGAGAGTGACATAGAATGATTTATATAATGCCCATTGATGTACAGTGATCTGTAATTCAGGAAGTATTGATACGCAACGTATAAACGATCGTCTCACAGTACTGATACGTAACGTATAAACGAGTTCTCTCACAGTAAAGTCCCAAAGAACCAGCTCTGTCGCGCCTTACGTAAATGAAGATAGAATTAAACTAACTTAATAAGCGCTGGGAGAGGAGGACTACTAACTGCAGCTGCATTTTGAGCATCTTCAATTTGTGCTGGTGGCATTATCGTTGTCGGCATTTCCGATTCCTCCGCAACAACCGTTATCCGACTAGGCGGTGCGTCTGGACTGAAACATGAACAAACTTTGAAATTTCATAAAACATAAACATAAAAACATGGAAAAAGGAACAGTTCTCTTTCCATGTTAACAACGATGGCCACTTCCAATGATCATTAAACTCTTATTCCATTTAAAGATACGAATAAACCTTGACTACAGCAAATGTCGCTAGTCATATTCATACAAACCCTATTGTATCGACATCTGACCAACTTAATATCTTTCATTAAAACTTAGTCATTATTAGCCAGCTTTCTTCGAAATAACTACCAAATTACATCATGGTATATATTACCGTATTGTCGCTATGTTCTCACTGATATATCTTTTCCATATTAAAAGATTGAAACAACAGAAAGCATGTCAGATGGGATAATATTAAAAAAACAGCAGAAATAGAAGCTATCTTTCGAATATAAAATACGTAATGCTGGGAAGAAGAAGATCACGAATAGTGACATTTCACAGTAACTTCATACCAGATAATCTTCGTACAATAATTAAAATTTCAAAATTTCGATTTCAAAATTTAAATTCAAAATTTCCAAATACGAAGGTGGAGGATGAGCGAGTAGTCGTCCTGCAATAAACATTACGTGATAAATTTATGACACATTCATGTAACCATCAAGCCACACACATACAAACATACGTACATGCATACATACATCTATACATACACACATACATGCACACACCACATACACACACGTACCTACATTCACACACATACAGACACACACACATACATAGATCCAGGGACATAGAATAATTTAAGTGACAATCTATAGAGAGAGAGAGAGACTTAATAGCTGAGCAAAGAAGCTAAACGATGCGTGGAAATGGAAATAAATAAGAAAAGTGAACGAAGCTAGGACAGGAAATACAAGTGAGGAGATATTGGGAGGATATGAATGATCAGAAATGTGATGAAATCAATTCAACTGATTGCAACATACTTTGACATTAAGGATAGTATCCAAACTGCTTGTGAGATTAATTTCAGCTCAGATCCCAGATATTTAACTTTTATAGAGAGACCTAGGTCTCTAGGCTTGAATGGCGCAATGGGGACATATCCAAAGCTTTGGAAGTAGGCCTTGATGAACACAATGCTTTGAGACTATGAAGAACAAGTGATGAATTTAACTGGTCTCACACACACATACACCCACATATATAGATGCATAGATGTGCACACAGGCGCAGAGGGTAGTGCGCAACATTAAGCTGAGGTACTATGGCTTCACTGAGATGTAAATTTGCATGGTAGAGAGGAAAGGATTATCCGTTCATAAAATGATTACTTTCACTGTCAATACTAGACCTAAAGCGGGATGATATTAACCAAAGCCTAGTAAGCCTGTTCCAGAACATTTGCGTATCTTGCGCGGTTTGAGAAATATGAAAAATGCCATAATAAGAAGCTAAAATGAAGGAATTAATTCGCAAACGGTTCTTAACCGTCCTTCTTTCCCTTCCACTCCAAAAGAATAGCCTGTAGGAACAAGTGTTCCCATTCCTGCAAAATAATTTCATTCATCAGTCTGTCCATCCAATTTACCCTTTGCCCTTATAATATTTTCTCTGAAATAAAACAAGCCTATAAGAGTTTCTGAGTGCAATCAAAATTACGCATAGATGTAAAACATTTTGTATGACATCAAATACATCCCAGTTTATATTTTCTTGCCTTTTCTTAATGATGGAAAAGTTGAAATAATTTATTTTTACAAGTCATTTGCGCTTGAAATTGGTTAATAAATTACAAAGTTTCATTTTTCATCCATTCCCTTTTGCTTTACATTTTTTACTTTGCGCTGAAAAGCTGAGTATCAAATGTAGTAACATCTGCGCATTCATATCTCTTCCTATCCTACTCCGATCATTGTTTCCCGTTATTTATCCCATAATATTTATTTACCCTTTAATTAATACATCTGCGCTGCTATAGCAGTTGGTAGCGAAATAAAGATTTATGTGATTATCTTCCTTCTTTTTAATAAGAAAACATCTTCAAGGTATTCTCACTTCATTAATTAACTTACTTTTAGATAATCTCAAAGCAGCGCTAATTGTTGTCAATATCTGGGCTGTTTGAAGATTTTCTGGGAAAAGTGAAATAATTTTTATCAGTTAGTTCATTTACTTAATTACTATTCATCGTATAAATACCCATTAGAGGGAAGAAACGAAAGTGAAATTAGCATATCATTAATCACTTGTAACAAATGTACACGAAAATTTGTTTATTTCAAACAGATGAATGACAAGTTTGAAATTCTATTTCATTTCCAAGCAATTAGCCAAGGAATCTAACATCATTTGGAAGGGAAATTGGTGCAAAACAATCAAAGAGAAAGAAAATGCGGCAAAATGAAAGAAACAAAAACGAAAAAAGTAAATAAACAAATTATCAGAACAAATAAACAAATATTTTGGAAAAGACTTAGGTATTTAACGAAAGAACTGAAGGAGTGTACATTTTGAGTGGGAGGAGAAATGCAAAGTGAGATTGAGAATAAGATGAAGAGAAGAGGGTTGTTGTCATTGTTACAGAATTTGGTGACAAAGAGATGCATGCATCGGCATTAGGGTCTAAGTTATTTGGCACAAAGCTGGCCAAGACCAAAGAAATGGAAGAGGAGATGAAAGAAATGGACGAGTAATTAAGGATGAAGAAGATGTGAGAGGGAAAAAAGAATGGGAAAAAATAAATTTTCGAAAAGTGAAGACATCTTGTGGCTTACATTCAATTTGGTACGGGAAGAAAAGAATGTTTAAGTTTGAAATGGATGGAAGGATGGATTGGTTAGTGTAGAAGAGAGGAAAATTTGATAATAGTTTGTTTAGTTGTACATGGAAGAGTAGAGAGAGAGAGAGATGGTTGCTGTACTGTGCAGGTAGATTGATGATAGCAAACAATTTCCTGAAGGAAGAATGAAAAGATGAAGCCAGGCCAAGAGAAGAAGAATGGGCTCAGTTAGCAGGATAGGAGCAAGGAGCAGCTGTTCCACACATTCAATGACTTATAAAGCAGACGGGTGGACGATCAGAGCGGACAGACTGAACTCTGTGCATTGAGATTTGTTGTAATATGTTGCATTCATAGGCTCATTTACTTCTTTTCTCCTCAAATCAAAGCTATATTGATTGATTTATCAGAAAGGTGATATTTTTGCATATGAAGCAAGTGGATGTCAAAATGTACAAGTTAATGATGTGAAATTTGATAAGGCATATCCAATCGAGACTTAATGATAAAGCGTTAACCTTATTATAGCTCATTTGATTCGATATCTTGAAAAGATGCGCAGATAAAACTTACTGATTATTTTTCGAAGTAAATTTCTGAATGGACTGCATCTATTCATTGAAATAAGATCGATCGGACAGAATAAGATATTAAGTTTAAAAATTGGATATACCTTATTAGGTTTAAAGAAAACTGTGTGAGCGAAGATTTTTAAAATGCCTTAAACTATGATTATAGCACCTTAATCAAACATTATTTAAAGTATATTAGGCTTATGTTTGTCCCCCTTTTTAATTACTTATTTACATTACTGATTCTTAACAAATTATTATTATAATATGCAGTAAGAAGGAGTGATCGTTCTTTAATAATAGTTTCATGTCATTTGACACTTATATTACAACCATTAGCCAAAATGATTCCAAGATGATTTAAAAGTCAAAAGACTGGATTGTTGAAGTTACTCTCTAACTAGCCTTCTAAAATTCAGCAGTAGTCGAATTGCTAAAATGGGTACGCAGAGATATTATATAAAAGCAACTTAAAAACTCATTTCAAGAATTACTGCAAAAGAAAAGAGCCAAGTTGGCAAGTTGATGAGAGAAAAGGGCCAACCATTAAGGTGATGTAATATTAAGCTATCAAACTGCTTCATTACACTTCAAATTATAATTTAATGATTGACAACTGACGCATTTTCGATTTGTCACCTCCTGCTTCCATTTTATCATTCCAGTACAAATAGCCGTGGTATTTCATTTGAATTATTGGCAAAGATTTGAAATGATGGAATGCAAGATTGTTTTTGGTATCGGAAGAATATCAAGCTTAGAATATTTCATCAGTCAAGATAGAATGAGAATTTTGATGTCTGAAATGTCTGAAAATTCCTCTGGAATTTGACCTCAATACTTTGTAATAATTTGAAGATGACAAAATGAAGGTATATCGTATCTTGGTATCAGTAATCTAATCAGCCAAATGAAACATTTCAATATAGCAAGCAACGTTAGCCTCTTTTAGGACGTCCATATTTAACTGCAACGGATAATATTGAATACGCATGACTAATCAATCCCGATGTCAACAGCTCGTTAGATCTCACAATGGTGACCTCATTTCTAACTCTTTTTAGAATTTGTTCGTGTAGACAGTGCATATAATGATTCCCGAACCAAGCGCAATTAAATCTACATAATCTATCACAATCCGCCTATCCGTCTATCCTCTTATATGATTACATGAATGCGAGCGGATTTGTCCTCTGTATCACTGCATATCTGTATCAATTGCTATACAACTCTTATTTTCCTTTCACTGTGTCAAAAACAAATTTTCCAATGAATCAAAAGAAGCGAAGAGAAGTTGATCTGACCATTCCGCAAACAAACAGCTTAAAAGTTTTTTTCTAAGACTATAAAAGTCCCACTATTCAATCATTTCCGGAAAATCCGACTTTTATTTTGAGAAAATCCGTAATCCTAAGAATATTTCAGTAATACATTTACTTCGAAGTGTGAGATTACCGAGAAAGAATATTATTCGAAATTCTTAAATAAATATTTAGTTTCAATAAATTTTTCAAAACTTCAGAAATTTTTTTAAGCATTTGAAATTGTGATACAAATATGATGGACGATATGATCAAAACAATAACAGTAATTAAAATATTGAGAATCTAGTTATTACATTCAATTAAGTCACTTTGTCAAATTAATCTGACCCATACAATGTCAGTTCATTCCATCTCTTGTCTTCTTTCGAGTTAAACCTTGTTTTATCTATATTTGGCATAGAAAAGACAAGGTTTAACTTATATTTGGTTATATTTAAATTACATTCGAACCTGAGATTAAAGATTAGAAAGTAGGAGAAAAAAACTTAGGACAACTAATTGATCTGTGATCAGATTGAATGCAGTATCCAGCGTTTGAACTCACGTGATATGCAAATATAGTAAAAATGTATAAAAATAAAATGACGAGAATTTTTCACAGACAAGGAAATGGATTAGTAGTAATTTCAGAATAATCGGCATATGTAAAAACATAAATTTCATACAGATGACACAACAACAACTCATCCAAATGTTTTCCTTGTCTTTCTATTCCTTCCCTTGTCTGTCATCTCTTCCTTGTCCCTTCCACTCATTACAATCGAGTTTACAGATTAGGAAATGAATCTAGATAGCGAAAAAGGAGATAGGAAGACGAAAAAGAAAATTCGAATTTCAGAGGACCCCTCTGTCAACCTAAAAAAAGCATAGGATTTAAACAAACGATGTCATAATTCACGATTCAAACAATTCACGCTTGTTAAAATTCATCCGGAAACGGAATCTATAAACAGAAGACGAAAAATCCATTATGCTTTTGGAGCCATCTGCTTGCTAGTAAATCTCAATGGATTTATTGCTTTCGTCAGTTTACATTAATTGAAAGTAGCATTCAAGTTAGCTTGAATCTACTTCTATTAAATGCCTTGTGGAATTAATTGAAATATCCAGAATGAGATATCTGAAATTCATTAAATTCAAACCCATTGGATTAAAAATTTTTTCCTCCCATTAAAAGTTTGTTCCCATGGTATGATATGATATATGATATCTGTTATGATTAGCCATTTTTTCTTTTTTTTTTGTGAAAACTTCATAAAATATAAAATGACTATCAGAGTAATATAAACAATAAATATATGCCAATAGGAATTAAGCCATGTGATTCGTAATTGGAACGAAATTTTCATCTTTAAATTAAGAAACACTTTTTTCAAGGATTAAAAGGAGGAAATTGCGAGACAGAGAGAGAGAGAAAGAAAGATCGCAATAATAGGAAAGTAATGATGATAACTTGAGATGCAAGTAACGATATTGCGCATATTCACCTTTAGAAGGTGAACGTAACCAATCACTTATCATCTTCTTATCTTATCATCGTATCTTTGGTTACAGTTGGGGCAGAGTAACGTGAATATTACGGGATAGAGTGTGGGTTTCCAAAAGTTAAGCATAAGAGAAATGTAGAATGAAATTAGATTTAAGTAAATTTAGATAATCCACTTCGAACAAGTTTGAACAAAAGTGTGGCAACACGCATTTATGCAATTGTCAGTAAGGTAATTCAGTGAACTCCAAGTGGAAAACTGATCAGGTCGCTATATGAAATGATCATATTTGCTGTATTGTTCATCTAATTTTTTGTTGAAATGTTACTTTTATTTCTTCATTCTCTCAAAATTAAAGTATAGTTGTTTGTCATCAGTGATATAATTTAATCTTAATTAAAACATACCAACGAATTAGTTTAAAAAACACATTAATTAAAAAATGCATATAATTACATCATTATACTTACCACTGCTTCATCAGAGCTTTGCGTGATTTGTTTGACGATAGAAGAGTGAGTCTACAGAGCTGAACTACTTGAAGAAGAAATGAGCAAAGCAAAAAAAAGAAAAATAAATGATCGAAATGATCGTTATAAATACGAAGTGCGCCAAATTTATGAGAGGGAAAATAAAGTGAAATAGGATGAAGTTGTTTACGTAGGAGGATATGAAATGGATCGAACCATCTCTCCAATGATGACTGATAGAGAGATGTTATGTGATGTGGAGATGTTTATCAGAAGAGTAAATGAAATGAAATGCAATTACTCTCCTCTTTACCAGCCTAAAACTCTTATCCTTCCTTTTTTCTTTTTTTTTGCACCAATTCCAAAATATATTTGTGGTATTTCATCCGGTTTCAAATTGAATTGCTTCATTGAGAAACTTCTAGACTAAATTATACTATGCATGCATTCATTAAATTAATTATGTAAATTATCACAGTAAGTGCCGCATATCATGATGGACAATGTGGTAAGTGGTAAAATATGAAGTATTGGTTGAATGTTGAATGTTTGTTTGATCAGGTTATTTTCCGGATGATACTCCTGTTTATTAGTATCTATTATTTGAAAAAGAAAAAATGATGAAGTATAATCTTAGTAATTTTAGCGCAAAAAGAAAGAGTGAAAAGAATTAGACGAATCTTCTAATGCTTTCTGGTCACTCTCGTCCACTTATGGAATAGTTTTGAAATTTATCATGAGAAAATATTTATTCGCTTTCAAATAGCCTATACTAATAATAATTTCAAAAAAAGTTTTAATGATATGAAAAATTATGAACTGAGAAGGAAAAACATGAAATAATCAGTAATAATCAATCCGGTCTAAATAGTAAATGATAATGAATCCGGTCGAGTAATTGACATATGGGCAAAAATTTGAAACTTCTTTCTTCGAAGATTAAATATTACTACAATGAATGTAATCTCAAGTACTCTCAAGTTAGATCAGATAACGATCGTTACATCGATAGCATTTCCCAAAGTGGCATTACCAACCATACTATTTGTTGATTTGTTCTTGTCAACTAATCACAATAATGCTTTAGAGAAAGACATCAAAGAAAAGGAAGGATTTGTTTCAATAAACAAAAACCAAATAGAGCCAAAAGGATAATTGAGTCTATGAGATAACAGAAAAACTTTTCACCCATTGTTGCATAAAGTTCAAAAATATCATTCCTTTTTTCATGAACAAGCTTCACTGATTTGAAATATTTGAAGGGTGACAATTAATTATTTGCTTTATTATCTTTTGTGGACATGAAAATAAAAATATAACTTCATTGAAACCAAAAAATAGAGTTTTTTTTCTCAAGTTTTTGGGGAATTGAGAAAAGTATTTGTGATTTTGATTTTATGCTAAATTAAAGATCGGGAAAAAAATTCTTTCCAGCTATATAAATTAGCTTAAAGTGAAGTCCAACTCCCAACTTAAATCTAACTTCTTACCTAACTTATGTTGGAAGTGGTTGAAGCGGAAAAGCAAAACATACACTTCGTGATCATGCCCGTTTTAGAATAGAATATGATGAAATGATGGAAAGTGAATGAGTCGTACAGCAAAATGTCGTACAGCTCCAATAAAACATGCTTACCCTAATAGAGACCGACCGGTTTTTCCCTTAGATCGGTTTGCATCACGGTGCACTTACCTTTCATTTACATTTGAGGTGAGAATAACACATTAACCTTCCATATTTATATATTTCCGTTGAATGAATAGTCTTAAGTTATCCATAGACTTTGCAGTCGAATTAATGCTGAATGCCAAAACAATTATTCTATTTTCCATTATATTATAATTTTAAAACTGACCAATTCGAAGCTAAATTAATGGCCTTATCGGTTGTCAATTATTCTGCCACAATGTGTATGGCCTGATTCTGTAATGTTAAGAGGAGCGCGAGAATTCTGAAGGTATTAATGGGTTGGTCCTTTTGTGGATGGAGCAGTGGAAAGATGTCAACATTGTATTTCATTTTAATCTAAAAAATAACTTTTAGAAATAGGAAAAAAATGAAATGGAAGTTTGAGTATTCCTCACGAGACTATTTGGTAATAACATCGCAGAATGACTGTCAGCATAGTAACAGCGACACGTTCGAAACGTAAATACTTTACACTCCACGTCATAGTATTCCGTTTCAAACTGGTTAGTGCTAACAAAGTGAAGCGTGCGTAAACGTTAATCAACATATTGCTATTTATATAACGGAGATTGATGATGCATAAATGAAGACTCTAACTTTAAAAAATTAATGAAGCTCTGATACGCTTTACGTGATATGATAAAACAGTTCATATCACGCGCTAATGATACTAGCTTCTTAAAAAGTAAATTTATCAATTCTTGGTTCAACAAAATTCAGCGATTAACACTATTCGAAGTGTGGGGATGGCAATATTTTCATATAGTTGAGCATAATTCAGACATTGATGAACGTTGTACACCTAAGATCAGAGATTGCATAACCAAGGAGAGAATTAAACATATTAATTCAATGAGCCTTCTTCGGGAAAAGTAATTAAGTACACCTGGCCAATGCAAGCCTTACTTATACTTTGGATTAAATAATTAGTTAACTAATTTTTTTGAAACAAAAAAAGAATGATTGATGCGAGGTAAATTCTTTGCAATGCTGCAAATTAATTCATTGAACTTTCATGATAAATTTTGGTTTAATAAGAAGTGCAATTTCAGAGAAAGAGAAAAATAGGAATTAACTGACACTGTGAGAAGAAGCTTAAACATTAGCAATAACAAATAAATAAACTAACTCGGTGAAAGGTGATTTGATATGAAATATTTCTGATGAGCTATCAACGGTATCCTTGTCGTAAACAAAAGTTTTCAATCGTTGCTCATCGAATGAAACTCTGAAACTATCAAAAATACTCAAAACTTTGTAATTCTTCAAAAATTCATAATCTATATTTTAATCTAACTCGTAGAATAAATCATCATATTGATTCATTGCAGTAATTATTACCAGAGAAAAAAGAACCTGAATGAATTGAAACAGGTGCCATCCATCATTCAGTATTATGTCAGCAATATGTACAAATAACTTACTATTAAATGCTATTTTATACCCCAAAATGAGATTCTCGGGTTATGCAAATTACTTTGAGATTGATCTCAAATAAATTTGCATATTATTGAACGCTACAGGTAGATGACAGTTCTCGATTTTTATTGAAAACACTGTCCATCATTTCTATCCACTTCATTCAACTTCCTAATTGCTCGATGATTTTTCGAATAAACTCTCTAATTTAAAAGATGGTTGGTCAGACCGCAATCAAATGTTTGAAATGACTGACAAAATTATTGCGGTTAATGTTTCATTGTATTTTCTAATTAGTAACTGCATTTAATTAGCAATACAGTATGATGAAAAATGGCAGTACTTTTTGAGTTTTTTCTTCCCGAAATGACCAAATAGTTTGCGCATGATAGGTAGTCGCCAGCAATATAATCGTTATTTTGATAAAATTTATTGAGAATCAGAATTTGTGGCTAAAAGTTGAAACTTTGGAGTTTGAAAAAGATGTGATTTTTCGCGAAAAAAAAAACGCACTCAATAATTACTTGGAAAGTTTCATATGGAAGAGGAACGAAATGAAAAAGATGGAAGAAATTAAATTAACTGGAATTATTAAAATTGGTAGTATAATGAAAATTATTGATCTGAATTCGAATATATTAATAATATTACTATCGATTCAACTCAAGACTACTTCTGCCTGCTAAGAGTAAGTGGATTAACAGGAAATCGTACTAATGGCATTGCAACTCAAAATTGATCAATATTCCATTTTTAAACACTCAGCATCTTCGAAATATAATAGTTTTATGCAGACACTAAATCTGATACAAAAATGACCAAGAAGTGAGGAATGTTC